GCAGGGGCAGGATGGCTGCGACACCCAAGAGCCAAGGAATGGGTTTAGGCTGGCAGTGGCAGCTCTGGCTGGCTGGCAGCCCTCTCTCACTGGGCTGAAAAGCATCGGCTCAGCAAGGCCCTGGCAGGGGAATAAAACACTCAGCTCTTGCCCATCTCCAAAGCCCAGGGCTGCCAGGGTGGCCCAGCACTGCTGGCACTTCCCGTGGCAGAAGGAATAAGGGGCAGGAGCAGCAGATCCAGGTGCTGAGGAGAACCAAGAGCAGCTGGGCACAGCCCCCTCCTCTGCCTCCCCAAACACCACACCGATTCTGGCTGAGCAAATCAAGACAGGAGACCTCGGGACAGGGGCACAGGGAGGTGAGGAGTGTCAGGAAGGGTTCTGCTGCCTGCAGGAGCAGCCTGGGAGGTGGCACCGAGGTGTTTTACCCCAGCCAGGAGGCAGAAGTCAGAGAATGAGCCCCAGCAGGAACAGCCACGGCTCTGCTCTGTGCCAGGGACACGCTGCCCCTTCCAGCCCATCCTGGGGGTGCCACATCCACACTCTGCTCTGGGAGGGAGCTGCCCCCTCCCTTTCCCATGGGAGCAGAGCGTGCCTTCGCTCCTCTGGCTGAATCTCTTTTCTCTCTGGGTTGAGGCCGAGGCAGGCTGGCAGTGCCAGGGATGGGGACACAGCACAGCCCTGGGGACACCCAGCCACAGGGGGCTTGGCCTGAGACTCCTGAGGAGAACCCCACACTTACAGGCAGCAGCACCCCACAGACAAGGAAAAAATAACCTTTTCTCCAAGGAAACTGGATTCTCAGGAGAAAAAAACATTTAAAAACCCATGAGATGTGGAGGGAGGAGTTTCTCTGAGCAGCAAGAATTGCCACGTGCTCCAGGGTGAAAGGCTGATCTGAGCTCCCACTGCCAGCAGCACTGCCACGATCTGGGCTGTGCCACTGAAGTCATTGTCAAAATATTTAGGCCATGGAGAGCTGTCCCTGTCCCCTGTCACACCGAGACAGCCACAGAGCACAGGACTGTGGCAGGGATGGAGCATCCCACGTTTCCATCTGTTGAAAGTGAGAATCAAGTTTAAAGTTCACCCAGGTTGAATGTTGTTAAACATTCCCATTCCTCTTTCCCAAGAGAAAAGATTTTATCAAAACCCTTCAGCTGTTCTAAAGGGCAAGACCATGATTTGATCCTACATTTTTTTTGTGGCAAATCAGCTCCAGCTTCTCCTGCTTTTGTTTCCTTTCCCTTTTCTTTTTCGAAGTTAACCCGGCAGATTAACATCTCTCCGTGACACCCTTTCCAGGAATTACAGGTTAAATTGTAGAATCACAGAACGATTTGGGCTGTGAGAGACCTTAAAGCTCATTTTTGAGCCTTGGGCAGGGACACCTCCCACTGTCCCAGGCTGCTCCAAGCCCCATCCAAGCTGGATTTGGGCACTTCCCGGGATCCAGGGGCAGCCACAGCTTCTCTGGGCACCTGTGCCAGGGCCTGCCCACCCTCCCAGGGAACAATTCCTTCCCAAAATCCCATTCTAGCCCGCAGCATGCACAGCACCGATAGCAGCACAACACATCAGAGAACCCAAATTCGCCTTTTTTAAGCGCATCTTGGAGAAGAAAGGAGAGCAAGGGCACAAAAGACAGCGCTGGTGACTCGCTGTGGCCCCGGGGCTCGGCGGGATGGAGCTGTCGGGAGGCGATTTGAAGTGAATAAAGCGAATAAAGCCCCTTTGGCAGCCTGTCCCCACCCTGCCGGGGGGAGCCTTATCGGGGAGCCGGTGTCCCCATCAGCCGGCGCTGGGCAGGGTAGATAGCGCCGCACAAGAGCAGCAAAACAATTCCCCAGGAGAAAGGCAGCGAGGTCCCGGCCAGAGGAGCCCCTGCCAGCCCAGGAGCTCTCCATGGCCACGGGAGTGCTCAGACATCCCTTCCCGAGGGCTCAATGTGGGGTTTTGTGGGGCTCAGGGGCTCCAGCACTGCTGGATTCACCCTGAGCATCCTCCCCGAGGGCTCAGGGGTTGATTGTCCCTCCAGCTCTGAAGTGACAGCACAGCTCTGCTGGGTTTCTGAGCGGTATCTTAGGTGGGTTTTCCAGACAAAAATCACTCTGCTTTTCTCCTGAGGCAGCTCGGGAAGGCTCTGAGTGAGGAACTTTTCCAGACCCCCAACCCTGTGTGGGCACCCACTGAGCACAGCTGGATTAGAGATCATCATTTAATGAGCTTGGGACGAGGTGGTGACAAAGTCTGGTCACCCAGGGGCTGCCACCACGTCCTCACTGGACCTCTGGCCTTGCCAAAACCACGGCATTCACAGAGTGAGAACTAGAAAGAAATGATTCCTCCCCACCCCCTCCTCCTTCTCAGCTTCACTGCCTTCTGTTTAACTGGTTCCTCATCCAGATCCTCTTTTGCTGCAAAAAGGAGTTTCTGTAGAACCAGGGGAATCCCAGGAGTTTCTGCTGGCCCAGGGATTTTTAGGTCTGCTGTGTACAATCCACACTCCACTATAAATTTCATTCTTTTTAATTAATAAGTATTTAAATGAAGCCTGTCCTACTTTTGGAAACGCTGTGTGAAGCCAGTTCAGCTTTGCTCAGCCCAGGACACAGCTCCAGATGGGATTCCACAGGGCAGGAATATCCCAAAATACCCGAGCCCTCCTTCCTCACGCTCACAGCCAGCCTCACCAAACCAAACCCTACTGAACCCAGCCCATTTTCCCATCTTTCCACACCTCAGTTTCTCCCAGGTCTGTCCAGGGTACAAACCCTGCAGCCAGAGGGGACACAGCACATGGCACACGGGGCAGGATGCAGGCACAGGATTCCGTCACCTCCCCGCGCTTCCGCCTGTGGAACAGGGACGGAAAACGGGCAGGAACTTCCCTCAAACATCCTGAAAACCTCAGGGCCGTGCAAACACCCAGCCTCGCTCCAAGCAATGCCTTTAGTGAGGAGATCAAATGGATTTGGGGTCGAGAGAATGATTCAAATTGTTCACTGAATTTTGGGAGCACAGGTGGGTTATTCAGCTGCTTTCTTGGTGGCTTATTCTGAAATTTTTGGTGGGTTATTCTGAAATTTTTTGGTGGCTTATTCTGAAATTTTTGGTGGGTTACTCCAAAATTCTCTGGCAGCTGAGCAGCACAAGAGGGCAACCCCCTTCTTTCACATCCCACCTTACACTCATCCCCACCACAGATATAAAAATAAAAAAAACAAAAGAAGACAATAAAAAAACCTTAGTTGATGAGAAGATGTGTCTCTGGTTGTTAACCTAAAATAAGGATTTATAGCACAGGACCCCCAAATAATTTGGGATTCTTAAATGAACCAACAAACTCTTGGATGAGAATTCAAAATCCAAGCGTGACCTTTTGCCAGATGGAATGGAGAACAGGTGGAGAAGAGATCAAAGCAATGGAGAAGTGAAATGTTGTTAAATACAATAAAATAGCCTTTTGGTTTCTGGCACGATGTTAAACCTCACCCTGCCTAACAGGATTAAAACTCCACAAAAGCAAAAAATTTGCCTGAATATTCAATTTCCAGAAGGAGTGAACTTCTGGTTGTAAATTCATGGTGTCCACTGGGACATTTTTATTCTCATTTGGGTCAAAATGAGGATGAGAGGAGCTGAAGATGAGATTTTATTGCCTGACATCCTTTACCTACAGTAATAAACTTACTCTGACAATGGTTTTCCTGGTGTGAGGCTGGGGTTAATAACTGAGGCATTCAGATATGACAACAGATTAAAAACCAAACCAGCCACCTCCAAAGCAGCTTTATTATCCAAGTCACCTAATTTGGGTACATTATACATGTTTAAAATAAGAAAGCATTTTGGTAATTAAGTTTTCCTTTATCTCAGAGGCCACTGAAGTTATTTTCCAGTGTTTACCTGGTTCCTGGCACTGCCTGAGAAACTTGAGCAAATAAAGGCAAGGAATCATCCAGGAGTGAGTGTTGCCACCACAAATGTGTTTCCAATGCATTTGGAGACAGAAGCAGAACGGCAACAGAATTTCTACTGATGCTGCTCTCAGAAGGATAAATGGAGAAGTGATTTAAATATGATTTTTAGGAATTGTGGTTTATTAGAGGATAGGATCCTTCACTAAAAAGTTTCTCTCGATGGGTATTTAGCACTGAGTTTTTTAGAGTTTCTATCAAATAACGTGACAGAGATGAGAAATAAACCCCAAATCCCTCCGTCCTGACCTGCAGCCACCTGCCTCCTTTCCTGGCCTGTTTATTTCTCATTTTTTCCAAAGGCAGTGCTTTGGAATTCCAAAAAGATTCCAAACGATCCAACGATGCCATCAAACCCCAGCTGCTCCTGGCATTCCCACCCCTATTCCAAACCCTGCCTGTCCCACAGGTGTGCCCAGGACCCCCAGCCTGCTCCTGCACCCCGAGCCCCCTGCTCGGGACATTTCAGAGCGGGGACAGCAGGGAGAGCAAAGTCCAGGCAATCTTTGATCCTTGAAACCCCCGTCCCTAAACCCCGAGGTTAAACATTCACAGCACTGGACACGGCTCCTCTTGGCCCTCCGAGTTTCCTGCCGGCAACAACCGCGGGGGCACAAATCCCATGTCACCCCCGGAGACTCAAAAAACTTGGAGACAGCCCTGGAAGTGCCGACTTCCAAGAAACCTCCTTCCATTCATTGCACCGGCGGGCTTGGCAGGGAGCGCTCGGGTCTCCTCACAAAAAGCATCGCTCTGAAAACGGGCGATTCAGGGCGACGAAAAAAAACAAAAAAACGAACAAAAAAAAAAAAAAAAAAGAAAGGAAAGTAAAAAACCAGGCAAGAAAGAAAGAAAGGAAAAAAAAAAAAAAAAAAGAAGGAAGCTTTTCTCCCTCTTTTCCCCTTCGCGTTCCCAAGCCCAGCTCAGCCGCCGTGCCCGTCCCGGCTCCTCCCGGCTAACGGGATGCGGGGCCGGTCCCGGGGGTCCCGGGGGGTCCCGGGGGTCGGAGCGAGCGCCCACCTTGTAGACTTTGCCGAAGGCTCCGTCTCCCAGCTCGCCCACCACCTCCCACACCTCGCCGGGGTCCAGGTCGCGGCGGACGTGCTCGTATTCCTTGGAGCGCCGCTTCTCGAAGGCGGAGAGGCGCAGGATGCGGCGGAAATTGGCGAAAGCCATCGCGGAGAGCGGCCCCGGGAGCTGCGGAGCCGCCGCCCGCTCCGGCCCCGGGAGGACGGAGCCGCTGCGAGCCCGGGGAGCGGCGAGGCGGGACCGGCCCCGGGGCCGCCTCCAGCCGAGCACATGGAGCCGGAACCGCTCCACCTGCTGGGCTGGGCTGGGCTGGGCTGGGCTGACCGGGACCAGGCCATTGGCCGCCCGCATCCTCCGCCCGCACGGCCGGCACCGCCCCGCACGGCTCGGTTCGGTCCGGGGATGCCTCAGACAGGGCTCGGTCCGGGCACTGCACAGCACGGCTCGGTTCGGTCCGGGGATGCCTCAGACAGGGCACGGTCTGGGTAGGGCACGGCTCAGACAGGGCACGGCCCGCCCAGACTGTCACGGCTCACCCCGGGCACGGTTCAGCCCGGGCACGGCACGGTTCAGGTTCTGGGTACGGCCCGGAGCTGCTCACCGGGTCAAGGTCCGCCCTGACCGGCCCGGCTCAGCCCGGTACGTTCTGTCCCGGTTCGGCCCGGCTCAGCCCGGTACGTTCTGTCCCGGTTCGGCCCTGCTCAGCCCGGTACGTTCTGTCCCGGTTTGGCCCTGCTCAGCCCGGTACGGTGTGCCCCGGTTCGGCCCGGCTCGGCCCGGGCGCGCATCCCCAGTCCCGAGGCAAACAGAGCGAATCCCGGGGCAGGGATGGAGCGGTGCCGCATCCCCGGGGCCGTGCCCGGTCCCCGCATGGAAAAGCCGAACCCGCCCGGGCCGGGCAGCACAGCCGCGTTCCCCGCTGCCTCTCCCGGGAAAACAGGCGGGGAACGCGGGTTTCACACTCCCAGCAGCGGCGATCCCGGGAAATCCGCGTTTGTTTTGGAGAAGCAGCCAGCCGGGAGCCGCTGGGAAATCCTCATCCCCCCCGTGGTGGCAGCTCCATCCCCTGGAGAAAGGAGCCGCGATCCCGTGTGGAATGGGGACATCTAGGGGACACCCCGGGCTGGCCCTGCGCACCCCGGGGATCCCCAAATCCCAAAAATTTGATTATGGATAGTTTATTTTTATATGCTATTAGAAGGAATTGTGTTTGAATTTAATTGACTAGCAATTTACTGAAAATAATTGTTAAAAGTGACACCTTCAACAGAAAAATGTGGGGGTTTTCTAGTGTTTCTGGTTTGTTGGGAAAGTAATTTTTTTCCTCCAGTGGTGGGGTGGGAAGGAAGCTGGGAGAAGAAGACAGGAAGAGAAGACAGGAGCACAGCAATGAGCACCTTCCCTTTTTCTCTGGGCAGAAATCACACGTGGCTCTCTCATAAATCATCTTATTAATACTGTCTGTGAATTCTGAGCAGCATCTCGTGTCTGTTCCGGGCTGTTAATTGCCTGTGCAGCCTGACTGGGAGCACTGGGCATTTCAAATGAAATAAATCCTGCTAATTATTGCTCTCAGCTTCGTGCAGGCAATGCCTGAGAGCTCCCTGCTCTCCTCAGGGGAACTTTTATTGCTTTCTCCGGGATGGGACCAACCTGAATAAGGATCAGGTTCTGCTCTTCCACCCACTGGGCTGGGATGCTGTGGGGAGGGAGAGGGGTGGTAAAGCCAGGATTACCCCTAAAGCTCAGCTTTGATGTTGGGCATGACCTGCAGCTCTAATCTGGAGCAGGAGCCCGGCCCGGGATCAGCATTGGGGTGTCCCCCATGGGATTTGGGGAGGAAGGGGAGAAGCCAAGCATGGACATGGGAGGGATGGGAAAGGAACTCTCAGAGGAGAAGCTGGAGCTGCTGGAGAGAGCCCAGAGGATGCTCAGAGGGATGGAGCAGCTCTGCTGGGAGGAAAGGCTGGCAGAGCTGGGGTTGGAGAGGAGAAGCTTTGGGGTGACACAACTGTGGCCTCACAGCACCTGGAGGAGCTGCAGGAAAGATGGAGAGAGAATTTTACAAGGGAGGGAGTGACAGGACAGGAATGGCTTCCCACTTCCAGAAGGGAGATTTAGGGTGGATATTGGGAAGGAATTACTCCCTGGGAGGGGGGGCAGGCCCTGGCACAGGTGCCCAGAGCAGCTGTGGCTGCCCCTGGATCCCTGAAGTGTCCAAGGCCAGGCTGGAGCAGCCTGGGACAGTGGGAGGTGTCCCTGCCGTGGCAGGGGTGGAGAGAGATGAGCTTTAAGGTCCCTCCACCCCAAACATCCCATGGCTCTCTGGCAGCAGCTTTGGAGCCTGGCTGGTGTCGGTCGCTCCCCCAGCACATCCCAAAGCCAGCAGCAGCAGCTGAGGCTCCATGGCAGGAAGCAGCAGGATTCTGGCATTTCCTGCGCCTGGGAGAGGCGGGAGGTCCCCTCTGTTGTGGGGATGTGAGCACTGCTCCGTGCTCCACGTGCTCCTTCCAGGCAGGAAATCAGTGCTGAGGTTTGTTCCTGAACCTTTCCGCCCTGAACAGAGCATCTCCACCTGCTCCGGGGGCACGAGGAACTGAGGGACATCACCTCACCCGCTCCTCCTTTCTGCTGAGAGGAATGAGGGATTTGTCCTTACAAATGAGCTGCTGGTAAATAAAATCAGCACTGAGAGATAAAAGAAATAATGGGAAGGATTCCACTGATTGATGAATGGGGAAAAAGATATTTGCCTTTCCAAACAAACTGCAGGTTTGCTGGTAAATGAAATTGGATATTGAAAGATGAAAGAGACAATGGGGAAACACCATAAATTCCATAAGAATTAAAAATTAAGAGGGAGGGTTCTACATTAGAGGGGAATCTTAGGTGTCAGGCATTCTGGGGAGTCTGTGCCTCTCAAGTACCTCAGGCAGTGGGGAAAGAGAGAGGGACACGGCCGGGAAATTGGGATAAAAAGGAGATAAAAATTGGAGAGACCCCAGGGGAATGGTCCATGGCCTCTCCCTTTATTGGAATAAAGTTACAGGACTCCTCTGTCTCCTTTTTGGACATAAACCCCTGGTGTTTGTGGATTCATTTCCCTGACTCTGGGTTACTGTTTTTATGGATAATTCTCCTCTTTGAGCCACCAGAGTTTCCCCTTCAGTTATTTGTTGTGGCTGCACCTCAGCCCTGCAGGGTGTGCAGCCCCTGGGTGGTTCAGCAGCGCAGGGAGCTCAGGAATCCCTCCCAGGATTCCCTGAAATGAGGTTTTCAGCCCCAGCTTGTGTTGGTGCCGCCCTTCCAGGGCTGCCTGGTTAAAAGGCCACTTCCAGCAGCTGGGAATGCTGTGCACTGCTCAGTCCAGATGTTGTCAATCACTGCAACATCTGCACCTCGTCTGGGAGGGCAGAGCAGCAGCCAGAGAAGGGCTCTGGGAGCCGGGATCATGCTCGGGATGAGCCCGAGGCAATCAGCTGGAATTGATTTCTCCTCAGTCAGGAAACTCTTCTGGAGAAGGGGATGAGAGTCTGGATTTGGGGCGTTTCTCTGGAATAACTCCTGCTGGGCAGGGCTACCCTGTACGGTGGGGTCTGCCTCCAATCCAAAATTAATCACTGAGCTGCAGGGAATCCGAAATGTTTGCAGCCTCCTGCTTGGACAAAAAGCAACAAAATAGAAAAAAAAAAAAAAAAAAAAAAAAGAGGAAGGGAGGGATCATGGAGAGCTCCCAGCAGGAGAACTCCGGGAATTCTGTACCCAGGAGCAGCCTCACACCCCTGACCCGGCTCAGCTCCCAGCCAGCACCAGTTTACAAAGTGAGTAAATCCCAGTGGTGCTGCCCAGCAATTCCTTGGAGGAGCAGGAATCGCTGCTCTTCAGCCTCGCAGCATCCCCAGGACTGATGGTGGCAGACTGGGGCAAACTGGGCTGTCTCCAAGGCTGGGTCAGTGCCAGGGGCAGCTGCTGCTCCACATCCCCCTGAAATCCCTGCTGGAATGCTGAGGGACAGCCCCAGCCCCAGGAACCGCCCTGAGCTTCATTAACGAGCCCAGCTAATTAAGGCCACGTGGAGAGAAGGCAAGAGAGGCGGTTTTGTCTCTTCTGCTGAATTTTGGCTGCTCAGCAGTGGATTTATTCCCCCCTCACACAGCCCAGGACACCAGGAGCCTCCTCCAAGCGCTGCCCCTGGAGTTATCCCCGAGAAAGGAAGGAAGGAATAATTCAGTTGGAAAATTCCAGGCCTTCCACAGAATCTGGCCTTGGAGAAACCTGGGATAGTGGAAAATATCCCTGGAAAAAAGTTTGGAGCAAGATGCTCCTTAAGGTCCCCTCCAAGCCAAAGCATCCTGTGATTTTGTGGAACGGCTGCACACAAGGCTTTGCACCTTGTATTTTATGGGTATCTATTAAAAAGGGGAATATGGATAAATTAAAGACACTGTATGTACACACTCCCATAGAAAAGGAATAAAAATTATGTATTTTTACATCTGTAAAGGGAAAATTTCCAGGAAAATCACCCCCTTGTTTGTTTGTAACTCACATCCCAAATTCTGCAGTGAAATGATGCCGGTTTCTTATTTAAAAAATGGAAATATTTAGCTGCAGCTGACAAAGAATTATTCCTACTCCTCTGATACCTCTGGTAGGTAATCAAGACTATAAAAGTGCTGACCTGAATTAAGACAAAGTGTCAGGGAATGTAATTACAGGCCAATTACCCAGATCCATTATTTTTGTTCAGCGAGGAGCTGATCCCCAGAGCCAGGCACATCTCCAGGCCCTGCATTCTCCGTGGATTTCACACCTTGTCCACAAGATAAAACATTGTCACACACCCAAATCCACATTAAAATGTGTCCCTTAGGGGTATCAGAGGTAATGGAGAAATTGCAGAATTCCAGCTCCCAGCCAAAAGCCCCACTGAAGAAATTTAAAGAGGAAAAAGAACACTGAGTGTATTTCTTAACGTGTAGCATCTCCAAGATTAATTTAATTTTTTAAATGAAAGGGGGAAAAAGTTTAATTTTTTTTATTTGTTTTAAATACAGGGAATTTGCACAGTGTTCCCACTGGAAATTCAGGGTGGTTTGCTCTCAGCAGTAAAAGATCTTCCCTATGATAATAAATAATTTATCAGTCTAGAGACAACCTGTGAGGCATTAATAAAGTACCAGATAAAAACCCATAAAGCAGTTTGGAATTTACCTGGTGTTCACAGCAGGATAAAAATTGGAATTCTGGAATTCTTCCCTCACCAGGGAGGGGAAAAATATTAAAAATCCTGTTTGACACAAATATTTGATGTTAAATGTGTTCCTAAGAGGGGAAAGAAACAGCCCCATCCTGGGGGACAACCCCAAACCCAGCAGCAGATCCCAAGGAACAGGAAATCCAATCCCACAGCACCAACACACAGCCAGAGTTTTACCATAAAAATGAAGGTATTTATTCAAGAAGTACAAATTTGATGGTACCAGCCATCTTTGAAAGCCATTCCCATGAGGCAGAGAGGACACAGAGCCGAGTCCTTTGCTCAGAGCACACGGAAGCAAAAGTGTCACCGAGTGCCACCGAGTGTCACCACCGCAGTCCTGGCCAGCATTGCTCAAAATCCACCTCTTCTGAAACATTCCCTGGACTTGAGAGGCACAAATAAGGGTTTTAAGCCAAGACCAGTTTGTTGTTTTAATAAAGCCACCAGCTCCAATTTCTTTTGTTTTCCATTGCCTTAAATTGTCTCCAGCCTTTGGAGCAGATTCCGATTTCCTAACGGAAACAAACAAAAAAACCAAACAGGGGGGTCTGGGAATGAGCAGGATTTTTCTGGAGCTCAAGATGAACGGAAGGTTTTAAGGCAGGAGTCAGGATTTGAAGTTGTCTCTTTGCCTCGTGGCTCTGAGTGGGCTTCACGTGGGGAACGCACAAATCCCGAGCTCGGAGGGTCGGGACAAATTTTCCAGGGAAAATCCAGCAGACAACGTTGGTTAAAAGTCTCAAAGTCCACTTGAAGAAGCCTTTTGGTTAAAATATCTCATTTTCCAGCTGCCTGCCTGCTGGAGGCTCAGTGAAGTGTCTCCCTTGGGAAGGAGAGCTCCAACTCCATCCCTACGGATGGATGATGGAATTCGGGAGAGGAGAGGAGGCACCTGCAGGACACAGCAATCCCAAACAATTCCTGGGAAGGGAAATCTTGGAGCAGATTTGTGTATCCAAACCACCACAAAGTGTTTGTGGCTGCAGAGGGAACAGCAGGACATTCAGCATTTGGGGAGGAAACATAAACGCGGATGCCGGGAATTCCAACTCCGAGGCTTCCCAGGGAATCTGCGAGGCAGCCACGACATCCAGGGGGTTTGGAGCAGGATCTGCTGCTTTCCAAGGAAGCTGCAGCATGGACAAAGCTCATCCCCACAGCCAAGGCAGGGTTTTTTTTAAACACTTTTCTCAAACACCTCTAATCCCACTCCAGAAGAGTCCAAACTGTCCCAGAGCTTCCAGCCACAATCCAGGAGGGATTTGATTACAGGGAAGGGCAAAGGCAAAAAACAAACAAACAAACAAAAAAGCCCCTTTTTCTAACAGAGACTACTTTCATTTCAAAGTAACAGGATCTGAGCAGCACAGGGGAAAAAGCCAAAAAAAATTCCTTTTTTTGTTTGTTTTTTTTATAATGTAAACATTCTCTGCATAAGGTGCAGGGTCTCGGGTGTCTGTACAGGAACATGGAAAAGTTTGTAAAAGAGAGCTCCAGAGCCAGAAATGCAGCTGCCCCTTCCATTTCTGAAGCATCACAGACGTGGAGAAACATTCAGCATTCACTTTGTCAACACCTACACAGCAAAAATGCTTCCAGAACCCCAAGGCTAAAAGCGTCCCACCATTGTAACAAAGAGTATTCTTGTATTTTTAATACTTCCAACAAAAAGATTTTACATTATTTACTAGCAATGGATATATATGCAGAAGCACATCACACTACAGCAATATTTTATCAAGTCATCATTGACCTTCACCAAACATTATGCACAGATGCTCCAAAGATTCCCTCTTTCCTCTCCTCCCCAAACTTTCTGTGGAAGGCAAAGAAAAGCTGGGCTTGGTTTGGTTGCTCCTGGGCTGAGGTTTTTTTGGTGTTGTTACACCCCAAATTTAAGGTGTCTATGAAAAACCCAACTTAGCACACCACCAATTCATTTTCCAAAATACTCCCCAGCTCCAGAGGAGCAAAGGCTTTCAGAAAACGGATCCCAAGCTGTGTTTTGTGTGGAGGACCCCAAAAACTGCCAGGCACCAAGGCAGGCAGGGACATTTGGGGGGCTCTGAGGGAGCAGCTGGCACTGGGGAAGAAGACCCTGAGCATCACTCTGCAGTGCCCCAAACGGACCTGCAGCACACCTGGGGCTTTTTTGGGCACCTGGCTCAGGTGTTTGTGCCTCTCTGCCCTTCAAGCTGTTCAGGAGTGTGACTTTCATCAGGTCGGGCAGAAGTGACGAGAAAGAGTAGAAAAATCTGAGCTGTGTCAGAGCTGTCACTGACAGGGTAAAAAAAGGTTCTCCTGGCATCAGCTCCCAGCCAGAGCTGAGCAGGAATGGCACAGAGGGCTGAGGTGGGGGAATTTAAAAAGCCCAAATTGATTCCTCCTCGAGTTGTGTGCGTTAAAATTCTGTTCCCATTGCTTTTTACCCCAGGTATAAACCTATAAACCCCCCTGATGGTGGGGACAGCACCCCAAGGCCAAAACCCAGCCAGGACATGCTGCCAGCACCCTCCTGCTGCAATCCAGGGGTTCTCTATCCTCTCCTGGGGTTCTCTATCCTCTCCAGGGTTTCTCCACCCTTTCCAGGGTTTCTCCATCCTCTCCTGGGGTTTTCCATCCTCTCCTGGGGTTCTCTAACCTCTCCTGGGGTTCTCCATCCTCTCCTGAGGTTCTCTAACCTCTCCTGAGGTTCTCCATCCTCTCCTGGGGTTCTCCATCCTCTCCTGAGCAGCCACCAGGCCCCACAGGACAGCCCCTGGTTTGTGCCATGCCCTGCACTCAAATAAATTCCCCTCCCTCAGGGGACACCCCCTGAGCCCCCAGACTCGCCCCACACTCCCAGGCTTCTCTCCCACACTGGAATCTGCACCAAACCCCAACTTTTAGGGCAAACTCAATCATTTGAGACACAAACGTTCTCTGTTATGTCACAATTTCCAGTTCTATACGTGGCCCTGTCAGCCATGTGCTTTTACAGCCTTGTACTGATATTTTTAACAGATTGTTTTGAAATGTAAAGTTCTTTCCTAATAGAAATCTTGTAAAATTGTGTTTCTTGCAGAGTATGTGCTCAGTACTGCTGTCACTTTATACAGAGGGTCAAAGTCTTCACTGTCACCTCTAAAAGCATTTTACCATTGAATTCTTTCAGGTTTTGATATGTGATTAAGGAGGGGGAGGCTGTTAAAGAGAATTTTCATGAACAAAGTCTCTATTCTACATAGAACCCACTCACAACATGGCCTTCAGAGCACCACCTTTTCTCCCTGCCATAAAAGCAATTAATATAAAACATGATCATCTGGAACAGTGTCAGAAAACTGAGCCTTTTCCAGCTCAGAGGGGAAGAAGGAGCAAATCCCAGCCCCTGCATCTCCAAACCAGCACCTGGTGACAAATTGCCTGAATGAAAATAGAAAAAATAATAAAAGAAAAAAAAGGATCCTACAAAAATAATAATAAAAAAGTGTTTTAGTGTTCACAGCTCCAGGTTTGCTCCTCCTTAATCCATCAGAATTTTCCCCCTTTCCAGGAGGGGCTGCAGGGAAAGGACACCATAAAGAGCATTTATCCAGACATATCAATTATGCTTTATAAGACAAGTAGTGTCCTCCTGGCATGAACCCATCCTTTGCCCAGAGAAAACCCAAGAGAGATTTTTGACTTGTTTATGTAGCAAATATTTCCCCCTCCCCCTGGAATGCAAAAAGGTTTGGCTGCAAAAAACCTCAAGTACAGTAAATCAAATTTGCATTAAAAAAAAAAACCTCCACGATAGAAAACTTGTTCTAGGTTAGTATTGATCAGCTCACTTTCACCTTTAAAAATAAAGGAAAAAAGGAGAAAAAAGGAAAGCAAAGCAAGTCACTTTGGTGATTATGAGAACAGGGATTTTCCTTTCTACAGCTGTGCCACTGCATTTCAGGCATCCTGTACCAAGAGGGGCCAGTGGAGCTGTCAGAAACTCCCAGGTTTGGTACAAAATGAGGACCAAAAAAAAGCTGTAGTTGGGTGGGGTGGGGAATGCAAACAAAACGTGGCTCTGTTTCCCAGCCATCAATGAAATTCTGCTTCCACCTGCTGGATGTCCCTGATCATCCTGACTCTGGTGCAAACTCAGAGTTTCTGAGTGCCAAATTTGATTTCTGTGGAATGACTTGAAGGAGCAGAAGTTTAAAATTGTCATGGGAATCCCCAGGTTTCACTTAATTCACAGAGGGAGGACAGAAACCAGGGGAAAAAAATATAGAAAATCTGCTATTTCCCATATTAAGAGCACATTTAACTTTGGAAGAAGTGATTTCAATGATGGCTGAAACCCCAAACAAACAGAAATGATGATTAAAAGAGCAGGGCCTCGACCTCCACCAAAGGCAGGGGAGCAGAGCAGCCACAGTGACACAGAGCAGCTCCAGCTGGGGGAACAAACCGCATCCCCCAGCCCCAAAAAAGGTCAGTGAGACTACAAAAGGATTTGTCATGTGCTGAAAGGGCCCCTGTTACATTCTGAAGGGAAAGCAGTGGCTGGGGGAGCCCAGGGCCAGGCTCTGTGCGGGTGAGGACAGCTCCAGCTGTCCTGGAGAGTCACCACAGCTCCCAGTGACACCCCAAAGGCTGCCAGCATCCTCACCAGCTGCAGGCTCTGAGCCCTGCAGGGGAGCTGCAATGCACCTGCAATGCTCTGAGCCCTGCAGGGGAGCTGCAATGCACCTGCAATGCTCTGAGCCCTGCAGGGGAGCACAGGGAGCTGCAGCCCACGGCTCCTGGCAGGAATTCAGTCCCTTTGGGATGCTGTGGGACAGGGGGGCTGCTCCTCATGGCTCACCTGGGCTCAGCCTCTCCGGGATCCGAGGGACAGGAGCTCAGCAGGCACAGCCCCCCACGGGGCAGGAACTGAGGCTGAGTCAGGGCTGGAGCAGGAAATTACAGTACAGAGCAGACAGGGCTGAGTTATTGCCTGAGCCAGCAGTGGCACAGGGCTGCACTGCCACCTTGGAATGTACAATTGCTCGCTCTGAGCATCACCAGGAGCTGCCAGAGAGCGAAGCCCAGCCCAGCTCCACTGCCCAGGGCTGGCTGTGCCTCGTCAGAGCCGGAGGGATCCCCGTGCCCGGCTCCTTCCTGCAGGAACTGTGTGTGCTGCTGATACACAACTGGAGATTTGATTCGGTTCAAAGTCGGTTTTTTTAGATAAAAGTGCTCTCTGTTGCTCTGGCCTCAGGGATCAGGACACCACTGACGGTTTCAGGATCATTAGATGTCTGTATTAAGTGAACAATCTCTTCCCTCCCTCTTTTCCCTTCCCTTTGCCCTTGCCCTGCTGCTCTTGCTGTCGTGTTCAATACGAGATCAGGCAAACCCCAGAGGCCAGGTTACATTTTTACGTTTTTGCAGATCTCCATCACAGATGGAATTTTTTGCTGGTCATTTCTTGCAACCCATCCACGAGCAGGACAACCCCAAAGAGAAGAGAGGGCACTGAAAACAAACCCCACAACAGAGACGCAGGAGAGAAGAACCACCAGAACGAGCAGAAATCAGTTTTCCACCGGGGTGGGATTTGCTAAGGGCTGGCTCACGATGACTTGCACCACGTAGTCCTTTGGGATTTTCAGCTCCTCCAGTTTCATTTTATCTGCCAGGGGCCTCCCAGAGAAGAACCAGCGCTGGCTGCCCGGCTCCACTCCCTCCACGGCGTGCAGCCGCCGCTTCATGTGGTACACGGTGTCCATGCTGCGCACCAGCAGCTTCAGGTCTTTGCCCGTGGACAGGCGCAGGCGGAGCTGGCACTCGTGCCCAGAGTTGGGAGGGGGGTCAGGAATATCCAGAGTCTCCAGGTCACCCTTCTCCTCGATCATGTTGATGGGTGGGGCAAGGCAGTAGACGGGGAGCTGGTAGCGGTTGCCCAGTTCATCGTAACACTCCGTAAGAGCACCTTGAGGAGAGAAGAGGAGGAGAGTGAGTGGGAATTCCTGGCATGTTTTCATGCTTCACTCTGGGAAGTTTTGCCCTGCTGTTCAACCAGCCAAGAGGTGAGGTCGGAATTCAGGCTTTAAAGGAGCGGATTAAAAAAAAAAAAAATAATCAAAAATCATCAATGTCCCCATCTTTGTATACAGAAACTTGGGGGTTGAGATAAAAGCACCCCCTAAAAGCCAAACAACCCTTCCCTCCAGGACAAAAAGCAGGGAGGAGGGATGAGGATGTGCTGCCACGTGTCCTTTCAAGGACCAAGGCTCAGGACACGCGGGCACCCAGCAAACACCACCTGCACCGACCCCACCACGCTGCCCCCGAGCTCTGAGTGCAGGAGAGCACCGTGAAAGGAGCATTTTGTAACTTCTCAAACATCCCCAAATTGCTGAAATGGTTTTTAAAGGCCTCGTGTTTTAGTGAGCGCTGCCAGGACAAACAAACACGACCACCCAAGTCTGCAGCTCCATCACCAGCACAGCAACAACGCCCAGCACGGATTCTGTATTCCCACAGCACCTCTGACTCCCACATTCAAAGCCCTGGAGTGTCAGGAGGGATTTTCATTTCCCTAAACTCCCTTGGGATAATCTGGATAACCTGGGTGCTCAGAAATTCTGCCACAAGCTGAAGTATCAAATACAGGCTGGGTTTTTCACAGTGTAAATTTATAAAATAGATTTTACTTTCTAAAATAGATTTCACTTTCTAAAACAGATTTCAAGTATAGAATAATAGAAAATAATAGGAAAGCAGCAGCACATTTTCCACGCTGTTTGAAGAATTTAAGGCAGGAAAGACTGAAAGCAGAGCCTGGGAAACTGAGGAAGCTGCATCCCAAATCCCAGCAGGAATCCCTTCCCCCTGTGGTTAAATCCCCTCTCCCCTGGTCTGAATTTACCTGTAGAAGCAATTTCCACATTTCTGCCCCTAGAGGGGCACAGTCACTTGCCAAATTACCCATCCTTGTGGAGCTGGGAATGTTTGAAGAGGAGCCAAGTCCTTGAGCTACAGAATATTAAAAAACCTCTTTGACTCTGTTCTGCACACAACAGCCAAGTGCTCCTTGCTGGGAACGAAGGGGTTTGTTAATTTGGAGGTTGTTTTCCATGCTGACACTGAATTGTCTTAAACTTTGCTGTTTGATCAGCAAAATTACCACAGTTAAAATTCCAACTCAGGGAAATGTGGTGTCACCCAGCCCGGTGTAACAGCAGCGTCTTCTGCTGGAAATCTTTTGGATAGAAATCCTCTTTTTTTAAGGATAATTTGTGTTTGTGAAAACACACAGAGGAAATCAATCAAAAGATTGATGTTTTAGGCTTTCTGTTTGTACAGGCAGCACCAAGGCATCTGTGCCCTGAGATTTATGAGAGAATGAAGCAAGAAAAGAAATAAAATGATATAATTACCTCAACTCATTACAGTGTTTTATCATTAATGAATTTCTGAGCAAATCAATTTTTATTAAAGCTGTGTTGGACCCTAACCCTTTTATGGTTGTCATTTACAGACCCAAGCCTGAAGTTCCCACAGTTCAGTTTTGTTTTACAACATTCATTTCACTCCTCATCTATTTGCTAAATGTCACAGGACTAAATTCCAGACATAGAAACAAGTTTGCTGCTAAAACCAAGCCAAAACCCAAACCTCAACAGCCTTTCAATGTAGCTAAAGCAGCTAAAACTTCTTCAAAAGCCATTTCTCTTAAAAAGAATGAATCAGCTTTAGAAGAGCACCTCAACAGTTAATTTTAAATAACATGGGGGGAGCTTGCTGAAGAATTTCTTCATCATTTATCTGGTTGCTCAGCTGAACTAACATGGAGGTCAAAGCTGATGCTATAAACACTGGATTCCTTAATCATCATCAGATAAGCAATATTAAACAAATCCTCTCAAACAGCAGCTAACTTGGAGGTCTGCAGCTAAACAAAAATAAATAAATAGAAAAAGACACAGCAGCAGGAAGCTCTTGCCAATAAAACCCCACAGTCCCATCCCAGACTGAGAAATGGTTTATAACAAACTGTTAATGTAAGAACAGGTTACAAACCTCACCAGTAATCCCAGTTTTCCATTCATCCTGGGGGAATTGTCCCCTGTCCCAAGTCCCCCAACTGGAGAACACCTCCTAAAATTGCTGTTCTAAGTGAAAATCACAGCAAATCCAGCATCCCATCCCATTCCCATTGCTGCTCTAACTGCAAATCACATTTCTGATCCTTCCTGCAGGACACAGCAGCTTGGACCACATTTAGCTGGAAGGGGCACTAAAACAAAGTCAAGTTTTTATGAGAAAGCGGAAAATAATAGAGAAATAAATATTTTTGAGGTTTTTCTGTCCCTTAGGCAAGCAGGGTCCTTCCAGCAGTGGGAGGATGCAGCATCCCTAAACCAGAGGAGGAAAAGGCAGCATAGAGATGCTCAGAGCTGCAGGGAACAACCATCCCACAGCCCAAGTGAGGCTGATTTCCCTTCCCTGCTCCCCTTTCCCTCCCCAAACCACAGCAGGTTCAGATTCCAAAGCCTCGAGGACTGGAGTTTTCACTGCTGGATCATCCAAAGAAACCCCTGGAAGGGACAAATTCCGGGAGGGAAGCAGCAGGAAGGAAGGGTGGCAGACAAGAAAATACAATGCAAAAAAAAAAAAAACAACAGCAGATGGGATTATTTTAATATTTCAGAATTATCAGCAGCTTGGAGAGTGAGGAATTCTGGAAGGAGCTACAAGGCAGAGCTTCTTGTTGGTTGTTATCCAGGTAGGAGACAGCTTGAGAATTTCTGAGGGAAAAATAAGCAGATGTGATCATCAAGCTTAAGGAACAGGAACATTTTGAAGTTAATTGCCTTGCCAGGCACAAAAACTTTGTTTTATGAAGATGATGAGGTTATTTCACTGGATTTGGAAGGGGAAACACTAAAAAGGACTGGTTAAAATTCTGCTTCCGTCCCTAAGCAGTTCAGAGTTTGGACTTACTAATCCTCCTGCAGGACCAACAATTTAAGAGATCTCAATAAGAAGAAGATCAACTTTTGCAGGAGTTATTAAGTCAAGCAAATATGGCCACACTCACCTGAAAACACAAGAAGTTTTAATGCAATTGAAATGGCATTTCAGCATTTCCTTAGGCTGCACACCATTCTCTTCAGCAAAAGCAGGAAAATTCTTATTTTCTGTTCATAAAGTGCCTTCAAGTTCTAGAGAAGTTTTGAGGAGCATTGCTCAGAAACACCCAAAACTTAAGAACTGAGCAGATTTCCATCTTTTTTTCCCCTTCCCCCAGATGGATTTGCTGCAGGAAGAGAAATTAAGACAACACAACCCAAAATGCAGCACTGCAGTGAGACTCAGCTAATTTAAGGCAACTGTCTGTGTATAACACATTTGCCCAAGGAACAGCTGGTTCAGTTGTTTTTTTCTGACTGAAAATCTCCATTCCAATGCCAAGCTGAGCCTGGATTTCTGAATAAATTTGAGATAGTAGAGCTTTCACCTGTGGATGATTCGTTTGGATCCAATGTACATCACAAATGCCTGAAATGTAGTAGGAAAACAAAGGGATCTCTGGGTCTTAGAGCAGAGCAGCTCCTAGAGAGCAAAAGCTGAATTATCTCTTTATCAGCTGCTGGTTTCCAGGTCTGAGCTGGGAAATACAGGATTTTCCAAGGAAAGAAATCCCTGTGCTGCCATCAGGAGGGTGGAGCAGGGCTGGGACAAGAGCAAACACGCAGTGCTTCATTCCACTCACCTCCAGGCAGCCCAAACTGGGAGGAGTTTGCACCAAAATGAACTTAATCCCAACAGAAACTGCTCAATTCACCCCTGGAAGTGGCCAAGGCTGCTGTTACCAGCGTGGTTTCCCTGTTTTCCAGAGGGAAATGTGTGGGAATGCTGGTGTAAGTCAGTGCCACGCACTGTGTTCGGAGAACAATGAAGCAGCTACAAGAATTAATTGAAACACTTGATAAAAAACCACCCATATAAACTCCCCATCCCCATTCTTCCACACGAAATTTCCATGGGTTATGCAAATGTGAAGAGCCAGAAAGCTCCTGGATAAAGGTGGAACTCGGGTCCTCAGGCTGGGCACAAGTGCTCTGCTCTCATCCCTGCCCTCCCTCTGTCACTGCAGCTCCTTAAAGAATGGGCTCTGCAGATAACCAGAATTAAGCATTTAATAATTCTCATTTCAAACCCACTGGAAAACAGCTCTTCCATTATGGCAACATTATTGGTCTGGCTCCATTCCACGCTGGAGAACAACTCCCAGAGGCAGAAGGAGATCCCAGGGCTCCGGGAGCTGCCTGGTGAGCAGGAGCAGCTCATTCCAATTCCAGTTCCAATTCCAGGAACTGGAATTGGAAAAAGGGGGAAATAAGGAGATTCTGACATCCTTCCCACCCTCAAGGATCCCACCTTTTCCTGCTTTTCCTGCAGTCACAGAATGGTTGGGGCTGGAAGGGACCTCAGGGATCAGCCAGTGCAACCCTTCCCAGGCAGGGTCACCTGCAGCAGGTGACACAGGGACACAGCCAGGTGGGTTTGGGATGTCCCCAGAGGGAATTCCACAACCTCCCTGGGCAGCTCTTCCAGGGCTCTGCCACTCTCCACAGAAAGCAGCTTTTCCTCATGCTGTAATACCAAAGTAACACTTTTAAAGAGCAAATCCCAGTTGGAGAATCCAACCAAAGATCCCTCAGGTGTATCCAAAGCCATCCTGCCTCAAACTAAGCATAACTCACCCTAACACAGGACAGGTTCCTAACTGGACAGAGAAATTTGGGCTGCCCCATCCCTGGAAGTGTCCAGGGCCAGGTTGGAAAAAGCTGGGATAGTGGAAAATATCCCTGCTCATGGCAGGGGGTGGGAATGGATGAGCTTTCAGGTCCCTTCCAACCCAAATTTTGGGAAAAGGCTGCTGCACATGTCATGTGCATCACTGGGCTTGCTGATCCTCTC